AACTTGCATCCTTGTGCTTGCAAGGCAGGTGGCGGAACCACTGAGCTAAATCCCCAGCCCACCTTTACTGTTTTTAAGAGACCTCTCTTTTCATGGTCACTGACTGCAATGTTATCTTCTATATCTGAGAGTCTATCTTTGCATTCTTTTATTCTGTTGCATACACTTTCAAGGGAGTGTTTAATCTCCTGGATCTCTGTTTGAATCTGTTTTATGGATTCCATTTCTTTCCTATGTTGGGCATTTATTTTTTCCATTTCTTTCTTATGCTGGGCCTTCATGGCTTCTATCATGGTCCTGAGTTCATCTATTTTTTTGTCAGTTTCTGCTCTAGAGTCTCAAATCACAACTTCCATTTTGCTCACTATCTCTATGGTTATCTGGGAAATTATTTCTCTTTTGAATTTTTCTAGAGCCTGATTGATCTGTTTTGTTACTTCCTGTGCTTTGAGTTCAAGGTGTCCTGGTGGTTCACTATCGGCCTTTTCATCCTCATTTGCCCTACTGTTTGCCATTGGTAAACTGGAAGTCTGTCCTTGTGTCTTGCTTAAATGATTTCTCATTTTTATTTTTGTTGTTGGACTGTCCTTGGTTTAATCTCTGGGTTATCACCCAAATCTTCCTGATATAGTTGCGCCCTAGCTTCTGTGTCTCTAACGACCCATAGAGGTTCTCATCTCCATAACATCAGAGAAACAGCTCATCAAATCAACCACAATGCTTTTCCCAACTGATACAATCAACAACACATTAAGATCAAGCACAGCTTGTACACTGACCACCTGTGGTTGTCACTAGTCTATCACCCTTAAATCATTTGAATTAAATTGAAATCAAGAAGCAGTCCAGAACATGTCTGCAGTGAACAAAATTTCAATATAGTGTATTTACCATTTAATGGTTCAGACAGAGTGAGGATGCAAGACCCCTGATCTCAGTTAGCTGATGGCTGAACCCCATGACACTGACTGACTTTCGGCTGCAAGGCCCAGATTGAATTCCCCAACCTTCTGAATGGTTGAACTCCATAATATTCTATTACAGGTTTCCCACGCCCTTTCTTTAAAGATGTTCAAAGTTGGGAACTCAGAGAAATACCCTTGATGACCACCTCTGCCTCTGCAGAGTGGGTCCAAAGACTGTCACAGTCAGGAGGTCTGAAAGTGGGTGGTGGGGGACATGATTTATGGGGGATCCGGGGCACCCACGTGGCTACCTTCCCAGTGCTTGAGCCATGGCGCCTGGGGCTGGAGAAGGTGCGGCTCTCCTTCCCGAGGTGCATCAGGGCCCAGGCTGCCTCCCAGTGGTTGAGCAATGACGGCTGAGGTGGGAGCAGGGGTGGCTCTCCTTCCTGGGGTGGATTGGGGCCCACTGCCACTATTTATTGGGTTGCTTCAAAGGCTGAATCACCTGTCTTAGAGGGTGGTGATCACCCTAAATTCAGGAGGACCTTATGTTGATGTAATCTGGCCCTTGAGCATCAGGACAACATGCGACCATTTAGGCCTCAGAAAGGCCTAATTGTAATTTAATTGTGAAATGTTTTTAATCCCCAAAGTTATGTAGAGTGGCTCCCACAGTACCCAGCCAGTTGAATCCTCAAAAGGAGGTGCTGGTGGAGGAGGGACCAGCAATGAAGCTCTGTATTGTGCATGTAGGGAAATTTTGGCCAGGCAATGGAAGGAAGTAAGGCACAGGGTTAGGGCCATGTGAAGACTGAAGTCAGGGTACCCCTGTAATCCTAGCATTGTGGGATGAATTGGAAGGCAGGAGAATTGCAAGTTCAAGTCCAGCCTGTGCAACTTAATGGCTTAGTGAGACCATATCTTAAAAAACAAACAAACAAAGAAACAGGTAAAACAATCAGATTAGAGGTGGAAAGAGAGACGGAAAGGAGAATGGGAGGCAGATATCAGAGACCAGGACAGAGGGAGGGAGGAGAGAGGGAGAAAAGAAAAGAAGGGAGCAGGAGAGAGAGAGAGAGAGAGAGAGAGAGAGAGAGAGAGAGAGAGAGTCAGACAGACAGACAATTAGATTTAGAAGTGGGGAGACCTAGAGGGAGAGTGGTGATGGGAATCAAGAGCGAAATAGGTTAGAAATATTCTCTGAGCTACTGAGCCACAGGTAGTATAAAATTGTTTTAGTTCATTTTGCATTGCTATAACAGAATGCCACGGACTAGGTAGTTTACAAAGACTACAAGTTTATTTGACATGTGGTTCTGGAGGCTGACAAGACTGTGGGCTTGGTGTTGGTACCATGGTGAGAGCCTTTGCACTGCATGATAATGTGGAAGAGGGCAATGAAAGTGAGACAGAGTGGAAATCAGTGGATCTCATTTTTTTTTTTTTTGGTCAGAGTGTTGGCCCTAAACTCCTGGGCTCAATAAAGTCCTTTTACCTCAGCCTTCAATGTAGTTGGGATTACATTTCAGTGTAGAGCTCATCCTTTTTTTTTTTTTAAGACTGGGAACACCCACTCCTGTAATAATGCCATTACTCCATTGCTAAAGGTGGGCCTTCATGGCCTCATTGCCTCCTTAAGGTCCCCCTGTCACAAGGACTATTGGAGTGCAGGAGTAGAGACTTGGAGGGGACATTCAGACCATAATAAAGACTGGTTTCATCTTTAGCAGATGCCTTCATCTTCTCCTAAGCTATGACTCCTCATGTTCTCATCCATCTGTGGGGGAAGGCCTGTCCCAGGTGGTCATCTTAGATATTCACCTGAGAGTGGAGCTGCCCTGGGATGCATGAACAGATGAATGGAAGCATCTTCATAGAAAGACCACATATGAATAGCTGTGGCTTTCAGGGACCTCAGGATTCTGATGGCACATTCCTATAATTCTAGTGCTCTGGGATGCTGAGGCAGAAGGATCACAAATTTAAGCTCAGCCAGGGTAACTCTGTAAGATCCTATCAAGAAGAAGAAGAAGAAGAAGAAGAAGAAGAAGAAGAAGAAGAAGAAGAAGAAGAAGAAGAAGAAGAAGAAGAAGAAGAAGAAGAAGAAGAAGAAGAAGAAGAAGGAGAAGAAGGAGAAAGAAGGTGGGGTGGCTAAGTGGTAGATCATTTGTACACATATGTGAAGCCCTGGGCTCAATCCCAAGTACTAAAGAACCCAAACCAACCCAAGACAAACCAAACAACACCCTTCCCCCAAGTCAACCATGTTTCAAACCCATGGCAAAGCTGGTGAGAGCTGTGGATAGCTCTTCATTTAGACCACCCTTGGCCACACACATTTCCTGTCTTTCAGCAATAGCCCATAAAATCAGGCAGTAGCCTCTTAAGTGAGTGAGTGAGGGCCAGATGTGGACTTCAGGGGCTTCTCCTTCAGAAATACTCCCACAGCAGCCCAAGCCTTGTTTAGAACTATGTACACTGGAACAGAGTGAAAAGCTGGAAACAATGTGAATGCCCGTCAGTATAGAGATGCTCTAGTACCATGCAGGCCTTCAGAAGAGTATGCTACACAGCTGAATGTGCTGCAGTAGTTAAATGAATAAAGAGCTGGATGTGGTGGTCCATGTCTGTAATCCCAGCCCTTGGGAGGCTAAGTCAGGAAGATTCTGAGTTCTAGTCCAGCCTGGGAAACTTGGTAACTTACCAAGACCCTGTCTCAAAAAATAAAAATGGGCTGGGAATGTAGCTCAGTTGCAAAGCCCTGAAATCAATCTTTGGTACTGGAAAAAAAGGCCTTCAAGGAATAGTAGGTGTCTCTTCTTTGGGTGTGGTTTGGCCTTGAAGAGTCCATGTGCTAGAAGCTTGACTCCAAAGAGATCATATTAAGAAGGGATAGTGTTGCGGTTTGTGTTTAGATGTCCCTCCGAAGAATTATGTAGATGAAGTGGAACTTTCTTTTTCAGAGATAGTTGAATCTGGAATGTGTGATGCTGAGAGTCAGGGCATGTGAGTGCTAAACCACTACATAGGTTTGGGGCAGCCCTAAGCCTGGTTGTCTGGAGGGATAAAAGAGGCAGAAAGATGCAGTGAAGGCCCCCCTTGTTAACTTTGCTGCCTCGTGTGCACCGTGTTGTTTCTCCTCTGCAATGCCTGTTTGTCATTCAAGTCTTGGAGCCAGCTGACCATGGACTGAAACCTCTTTGAACCCTAGGCCAAATAAACTCCTTCCCCTCTAACTTTGGGTGCCGGATATTTTGTCTCAGAAGTGAGAGAAAAGTAACTAACACAGATGGGTCTTGAACATGGTGTAGTGGAAGGTGATTAGATCATGGAAGCACCATTTGGAAGGGATTCATGCTAATCCCAAAGAGTGGATTAATTTCCCGGAGAGCAGCTTGATTTACAGAAGCAACCTGGCCCCTTCCTGGCCTCTTGCCTCCTCTTTCTCACCCGGAGAGCCCTCACTCTTGTGTTATCTCCCTCTGTGATGCCATCTTCAAATTAGGACCTGAAAGAGGACCTCATTAGTGGGGCCAGTTGTCCTTGAACTTCCCAGCTTCCACATCTGTGAGCTGAACAAACCTCTTTGAAGATTACCCAGCCTCGGACACTTTGTTATAGGAGCACAAAATGGAGTAAAGACATTAGGATCACCTAGCTTTGTGAATTGTGCATGTAGGCTAATGTGTATACTTGCATTTGTTCAGATGCATTCTATAAGGATACATGAAACCATACATGGTGCTTAACTCTGGGTTGTAGGACATACAATCGAAGGACAAGAATCAAGGAGACTTTCCTTTACTTTTGTACTCTTGCTGTGCTTGATTATTTTTTTTTGCCATGCATTTGTATTACACATACAATTAACACCCGTTTAGACAAAAATATTAGCTCATGTTTGCATAGCTGTCCAAGTTTTAGATAATTGTAACAAAAACGACCATTGAAAAAAGGTATTGCTTTGGATAAATGTATTGTCACTTTATAAATTGAATTATGCTTGTATTTAATTAATGAAAAAGGATTTAAAAATTCAAGTTTGGATGATTTCATGGCCTGGCACAATCTCTAGTCCTGAAAGGACTGAATTCTGTCTGGAATTAGTGTGGTTGGGGTGGATCATCCTTCCTCATCCTTCTCCTCATGTGTTCAGCATCTGTCTTCTAAAGGAGCAGTCAGAAAAGTAGGAATTGGCTCATGTTAGGAAAAGGGGAACACAGAGGGTAGTTGGAAATGCATAGCACAGTCCTGACCTGCAGAGGAGGGCAGAGGGGCAAGGCTCCTCCTGAAGGCTCTATTTGTATCCAGGAGCCTCTTGGGGTTGGGGTCTTGGAGGACGGAATGGGGCAGTGAGGGCACTGTGGTGCCCTGTGGCACAGGACCAAAGCCCTCGGGGTCTAATTGGTCCTGGGAATAGCGGGGCAGGGAAAGCGTAGGCTCTGGGGCGAGCAGACCTGGGCTCAGTCCCAGCTTTGTCGCTTCCCAGCGGGGTGACTCTGGACGAATGCCTCCCTCCTGGACCTACTTTCTCCCTCTGCACAATGGGCATATTAACCATGTCCACTTGGAGGAGTCAGTGCAATGCACAGGCTCCTCAACTTATAATGTGAGCTCCCCCAGTGAATGCAGTGTAAATCAAAGATCTCATCAGTCAACAATGCATTTAACTCACCTAACCTATCTGACCTGACCTCCTAGCAGGCTCGGGTTGCTTCTTCCTGTGACTGTGTGGCTCACCAGGAGCTGAGTGTCATACTGCACAGTGCTCGCCTGAGAGATGGTCACGATTCCAAGTTCCAAGCCTGTGCACCATGGTAGAGCTGGAAAATCATAAGTGGAACCATCCTAAGTCTGGGACTGTCTGTGGAGAGAATTACTTAGCACACAATAAAAACTCAGTATGTGGTTATTATGATGGCCATTACTCAGAGCTGTCATACCAGTAATAATAATAATACCTGAGGCTGCAGAGCTTGGAGAGAATTAAATGGAGACTCTGATTTAGATCCTGAAATGAAACTGAAGAAGAATGAAGACAGCAAAGCAAGCTGGTCAAAGTGCAAACTCGGGCTCCCCATGCCAGTGTGGCTTTGTCCTGGGGAGGACTGTCCATGAGCTGGGATGCCAAGGACCACTGCACATTTCCAAATTCACATTGGTGATTCCCAGGCCACCTTGTTATCCTGAGTGCACCAGACTTGAACCGTGTAAATAAGAGTCTTTCACTTAAATGATAATACACTGTACACAGTAAATAGCAAAAAAACCTCTACAGATCATGAAGGGTGTTGTGACTTGCAAAAGTTCGATTGTACCAAAGCAGCAGAACTTTCCCCTGAAAAATGTGACAGAAATCAGGCACAAAGGGTATTTATCAGTTTTTCTACCTTCCCCTTTTGGTTTTCCAGACATATAAACCATAGATGACTCCAAGAAAGTCCAATGCCTGTCACAAAATGACATAGTGGTTTTTCCTTTCTTTATATTTTTCTCAGATTCCTTTTGTGTCCATTCACTGATTGCAGAAGGACAGGCTGCTGTACCTGATGGAGAAGCTCATGCCTGGATGGTCTTGCTGGGGCCATGTGCTGCCCCTTGTTCTTGTTCCTGATGAAGTTGAAGAACTCATTGGTCTTTCCTCCTCCTCTTGTCTCTGATCCTGAGGCAAGGCCGGGCCTGGCATGGGCATGACAACATGGTTGGAGCAGTGGGGCAGGACCTGACCTGCCATGTGAAGAGATTTGTTACCATGGTTCAGAGAAGAAACTCCCAAGCCTGACATGAGATCTTTTATTTCTCCCACAAAGCATTCTTCTCTCCTTGAGCATATCTTTTATTCTTCTTTTCCCTTTCTTCTTATTTTTTCCCTAAATTCATGTTCATCTTTCACATTCACCAGTTGTTCCATCCAATTCATCAGTTCATTGAACAGGACAATAAGAACCTTTGTTACGGAAGGAATCAGTAAGTGACACACAGAGAGGCAGCAGAATGGAAGTAAAATAATAAATTTACTCATTGATAAGGGTCGATCCCACATAAGCTGTGCCTGGATCAATGATGCATGGGGTTACAACTCTTCTTTTCATAGGGTTTCACAGCCTCGACTTCATTTGGGTGGTTACATTCCATTCCCACAGTTCAAATCACTGTCACAGGACAGTTAATCTTTTCAACTCAGATGTAGCAGTTCTTTGCAGTTGGGGAGTTTACCTTTAAGATTTGCCTAGTTACCTATTCTAGCCCATAGGAAGCGGGTGTTCAGGGTCAGTGGAGCGAATGTTGGCAATGGTCCTTTTTATCTTTACACTTTTACAATCAGGTGGCTTCAGTCTCTCCAGAGTTCAAGACCTTGATGTGCCCTGTTATCTGAGGGTCAGACCAAATGCCTCATTCAGCAATTAGTGCCTCTGGTGCCTATTAGTTTTGAGCTAAACAAAACAAACTGATGCTAGAGACAGCAGAAGCCACTTTACATTGTAACACTTTATTGGTTTTTGCTCTTTATAAAAGTTTTCCCTATCACCTGGAAAGAAATGCTGGTTCCCCAGAGCACCCAGTAATAATCCTGTTATTCTTTGTGTATGGTTCCAGGATCTTCATGAGGTTGCAGATGAAAGTCTGTGTCACACAAGTTTCCATCACCACCTCCACTGTCTAGGCTTCCCAAACAGCTTTTACTTCAGTAAGAAACCCTGGTCTGTAGCCAGGAAATACAGTTGAATTCTGTATTTGGTCATGGTGCTAAAATGATTTCTGAAAAGACACACAGTTCTCCTTCCTGAATTGTTGAAGTTAGCTCACACAATCCATGGTAAGTCAGTTGAGTGGCTGAATTGTTTAGAGACTGCTCAGCTACAAAGCCTTCACTAAGCAACCAAGTCTTGTGTGACTGTGTATAAGAGATGATCTTCTCCATGAGTTGATTGCAGCTCCATTTACCAAAAGCTTGAGGCCATTAATCTGAGAATCCACCAGCCACTCACAATACAAAGGAATATGAAGAAGATCAAATAGTGGGCATTCTGGTGTATAGTCAAACACTCGAACCAGTAAATCTGTGTCTCCATGTCTTTTTGAGGCAGGAACAGAGTGAGGTGATGAAAACAGAAGCTCTATAATAACATTGGGTTTGGTCTCTGATTCTACCTCTACTCTGCCATGTAGCCTTGGGGAAGTTCTCATCCTGTCTGTGCTCTTTCCTCCAGAAATGAATTATTCTGTGCAAAGTACTTCATGTCTTCCCATTAGGGCTGGGAGAAGGACCCGAGCTGAGTGCCAGATGATTTAGCAAGGTCCTGGGGTCAGGAGAGTCTGTGATGGCACCACTCCAAGGTCAGGATTGAACAGTTGCAGTGTGTTGCCCTTCTTTGAGTCAGAGGAATAAATGGAGAGGCAGAGCCTGGTGGCTTTAATTTTCAGACTCAGATAGTCTTGCCTTTGCCTCATCCTTAGGCATGTGTGGTGATTCCCCATGCACTAGATCAGGATCTTCAGTGGTGGCTCGTGATTTGTGTGGCTTTGCAGGCAAGATGCCAATTTCTCAGTGTTTATTGATTTATTTGTATGGGTATTGAACCCATGGCCTTGCACTTGGTAGGTAAGCACTGTGCCTCTGAGCTACACCCCTAGCCCTGGTTTCCCACTTTAAACAAAAGAGAAAGAAAGAGAGAGGCTGGAAGATACGGACACATTCATACCCATATAGGGTGATTATGGCCTCACCCCTGCTGGGGACAGGGAAGGTGCAAACTCACAGTGATGATGGAGATAGAACTGACAGACCCAAGCCTGGCAGACCTCCACCAAGAGAACCCAACTCTGCTCCTGGAACTCTGAGTCTGCAGCAAAGAATGAAGAGAAGGAAAGGAAGAAGAATGGGGGAAGGGGAGAGAAGGCAGGGGGAGTATTAGAGTTACAAGAAGCAGAAAAAGCATGTCATAGCCATAAACACAGACCATAAAAGGACAAGGAGAAAAGCATCCAGCTCACAGAGAGAGTCCAATAGAGGCAGCCTCTCCTAGGAGTGTCCTGGTGTTACCAGATCACATCTCATTGCTTCTCTTCACTGTCTTCAACCCTGCCACTGTGTCTCACTAATTCTTATCTTTCTCACCTCCCGTGGCTGCTTTTTGATCATTTCTGTTTCTATATCTGTCCTCAAAGAGGAAGGTGAAGGAGAAAGACACCAAACATCTGTAGGCCACACACACACACATGCACACACAGATGCGTGCACACACACACATGCACACACACAGGAAAAGCACATGCAGACTCACATGCACAAGCACACACTATCCACACCACACAAACCCAAATACATGGTATCTATCACTCCAGGTGACATCACAGGAGACCTATTTTCCTATAGAATCAACCATAAGATGGAGAACACATATGAAAACATGGTCTGTAGGAAACTGGGCATCAGGCAATAAAGGGCAATGATCTCTGAGAGATGGGAAATGAGAGAGCTACCCTTCAGCGGTGTCAGGGGATGGCCCTAGGAGGCTTTCCACTGCAGTGCAGGCAGGAAGTACCAGGTGGAGTCCAGTGTAATCCCTGAACCAGGGAGAAAAGCACATACACACACAAAAAAGAAAAAAAAAGTTGGAAATATAGCTCAGGGAGAAGGACCTGGATTCAATTCCTATTACCAAAATAACAAGTATGGAAGGTAGACCATACCTTCAGCTACTTTTTTTGGGAAACAATGAGGAATGAAACAAAAAGTTAGAGACAAATTTCAAGATATAAAGGGGACCTGGAGGAGACCTGCCTCTGGCAGACAGACTTGAATAAAACTTCATGGTTGGCCCACTTTTATAGCAGTCGGAAGCCCAGGGGAAGGGATAGCACTGGATGGAAGAGCAACTATAAACAGTGGGTGGATAAGGATTAAGTTAGTGAGGAACCAGATATTCTCTACCACCAAGTGGCTATATATTGAGAACTGTGCTCAGCAGATGCTGTTTTGCCTCAGAAGTGCCTGCTTAGCCACAGTCCACCCCTAGCCAGAAGACATGCAGCTTTCCACATACTTTTCTGGGCCGAAGGCAGGATAACACAACTGGGAAATCTGAGTTACAGAGCTCAGTCCCCAACAAACAACAACACAATAGTACAAGGCCACTTTCAGATATGAAAGCAAGCACTTTTGATGTAGACAGAAAGTACCATAGGGACTGATGATGAACAAATTCTTGGGCCCTTAACTTGTTACTCATTAAAAGCACAATTTATGTATTTTTTCTGGGGCAATCAAGGACTTAAAAGAAGTTTCTGCTGAAACTGCTGACTCATGTGCCTTGACAATACAATTTGTTTTACATGTTTTATATGTTCTTGGGCCTATTAGTCTGATTTTCAATCTCTATATATGATAATTAACTTTATAAGGTCTTATAAAATAAATAAACAAATGTGATGCTGGGAAAATAAAATGGGGCTGCAGGGAGGGGAGATAAAGAAACTGAAATATGTTATGTACATGTACCAATCCCTACTGTGAATGTAATTGTTATGTACTGCAAATGTGTATATTCAAAATTAAAAATAAAACACAAAAACTTGCTGACTTTTTATTTATTTACAGATGCCTAATAAATATCTAAACACAGACAAGCTTGGCCTTTATTTTTGTGTCCTTTAATACCTTAAACTTTGGATATATGTATGTTATTCATTTAGAGAAATTGGCAGAACCAGATTTATTAGCCTCAGATTTACATAGGTTATCATCTCATCCATCCCCTTTCAAGATGGAAGACATGAAGACGGAGTAAGGTACTTCTCAGCATTCACAAAGACTTCTGTGTACCAGTTTTACAATGTCTACTTGCAGGCCTTTCCTCTTCGGAGTGGTGCCTACAAGTCTCCATCCATTTTTCTGAGCCAGTTTTGACCCAAACCCCAGGAAAAATAGACCATGAAATAACTGAAACTACCACAAACAGAAAAATTTCATAGGGGCAGAACTGCTCCTTAAGCCATGAGAATTCTGTCAGAGCTGGAAAACCAGGACTGAGATCATAAA